GAATACCGTCCCTCGAATTACCATCAAGCCTCCCAGACGTTCCAATGCATACTTGGGATGGCATCACGGCAAAGGAATCATTGAGTCTGTGTCTAGCTCCTGCAGGAAAGAGTCCTCAAGGGAGTGGGGTTGAGTCTTCGGAGGAAAGATGAGTTGGACCTTAGACAGGCTGATGCCCAAGTCCTGAGGTCAGACCCCCAGGCCTCTACTCAGCTCCCTCCACCCAGTGATGACCCAGGGACCAAGTGCCAAGGCGTGCTTAAGCCTGGCCCAGGTTCACACCAGCCCTTTTATAGACCTTGACCCAGCTCTCCCCACTTGCTGTGTGTGGCCTATTCTGGACCCCAGGGAGGGTCTGAGCACTGGCTCAAGCTGGGCCGGACCCCCATCCTACCGACAGAGCCAAATCTCCCTCTGTTCTCACCTTCCCTCTGTGGCCTGTGGATTCCCCAAGGAGCTGAGCTTTCTATCGGTGGCAGGTATCCTGGAGGGCTGTGATCTGGGGCCTTGGACTGCAGTTTGCACTTGGACTCTTTGTCATCAGAACTGAACCAGGATTTATTGCATCCCAGTGGTTGGGTGATCAGATCCAGGTATGTTCCTGAGGTCCCCACTGGCCAGGGCCTCCTGGACTTTCAGTGAGTGGAGAAGTCACTCAGTTGTGGGGAGGCGTGGGGAGCTATAGAGATGGATTGACACACAGAAGATGGGTACACAGCTGAGGGATGGGCAGTGCCCCTGCTGCTTCCCTCAAGGCTGGTACCACAGGCCCTCGGACCAGTGCTTTTAGGAGTAGAGGTTTGATATGGTAGAGAACCCTAGAGCAAGGAGGTTCTTAAGGTACCTGACACACACCATAGTATGTGACCATCAGCAGTCATTAGTCATGTCTTTTGTTGTTGTGAAGTGCCATTGAGTTGGTTCCGACTCACAGTGACCCTGTATAGGGTTTCTGAAGAGCAGCTGGTGAGTTTGAACTGGTGACCTTACAGTTCAAACCGATCTTATCATCCAGTGCTTATCCTACAGCATCACACCATAAAGATTTATAGTCATGCGTGCTAAAAATTGCAAATGATTTACTTTGAAAAACATTCATTAGAGAAAACGTAGGTTGATCCTACACTAACCTCCTTCTTTAAAAAACCCATTACCATGAAGTCAATTTGGACTCAAAGAGACGCATGCTAGAGCTGCCCCTGAGGCTTTTCAAGGCCAGGATTTTGATGGAAGCAGGTTGCCATGTCTTTCTCCCGTGGAGAGGCTGGTCAGTTCAAACTGCTGACCTTTTGGTTGGCAGCCGAGCACTTTAACCTCTGCACCATCAGGATGCTTCACCTCTCTCTTACCATCATGCATTTCCATGTCTTCTCTAGTGACCCTGTGTGAGGTGGGGCAGG